TTTCCCAACCTTTAAGGGAATGAACGGGTTGGAATAATCGAGGAAAAGATTGCAAGGACGCGAAGTCAGTTAATTTTCATAGACGTTTTCATTCGCGTCGTCCTGTTTTCAGGTCACTCCGAGAAACAAAACTAACTAGCCTTGAGAGACGCTTCGTATAGTGTTTTGTTGCGATTATATAGAGTCCACTAAGAAAAACTTCTACGCCTACAGAGCGGTCAACATTCGTTAGCAACAGTGCGCTGTTAGTCTATGACGTCACAGCCGCTTAGAAATTTTTGGCGGGAAACAGCTGCATTGTCATATATTACGTGACCTCAGAATAACCAATGAGAGCGCATATTGTTTGGGAAAAAGTCCAGCTACCTGACAACACTTAGGATATTTTTCTTATATCCGTGGTTCCCTGATTGCGTGACACACACTTCCGCTCCAACCTTCTCATCGTGGCATCAAAATAGAGAAAGAGAGAAGGCTCAGGTACTAGACTGAATAAAGTTTTGCAATATTATTAACAGACGTCTGGTTTAAAAAGTTAGTTTGAATACAACAAAGAAAAAATTAAATTTTATTTATTCTTTTACAAAATGTAAACTATTTATTTTGCCAAACAGTTTAGGTTTGACCATAAACAATTTATCGTTTCTATGCTGCAGAAAGGAAAAAAAGATATTCTTAGACAAATTGAAATTATAAGTATTTGCCTAAATTTCACGTTTGCAATATTTGAAAAAAAAAACAATAATGGCGAAGGTCTAGCTTAATTTTGTGTACCAACCCGGCGTTTAAAGCAATATTCACACTGTACCGGATAGGTTTTCGAGCCGACGCAAAAAGGTATCCGTTTAGTATGACACCTATTCGATATGTAACTCTCCGGGGGGGGGGGTACTCCTGGATATTCTTAGTAGGGGTGTGACGCCCGGTTCTCCAAATCCTGACCCTATTTCAGACCAAAAAATGTCATTTTCCACACCCATTTTTAGACATGGAGGTGGTCACAAAACGCAACATTACACGTTTACATAAAACAGAAATTAATGTCATCGTTGCTGAGAATAAAACGGCAAACGTTAACGGCAAACGTAAACCATAACCGATTCCAGACCAAAATGGGCAAAACCAATACCCGTTTTCAGACCAAAACGGCGCAAAAGCCCTACCCTTTGGGGCGGCACATACCTATATGGCTTAAATAAGGGAGTAGCCCGCCCCCCCTCCCCCCCCCCCCCCCCCCCCCCCCCGGGCACCTCCCACCTACGCCACCTACAC